GGGGGGGAAGCTCTTTACAACCGCAAGTCCTGAATATGCTCAAAATGCTTTACCCTCGCTTATGATATTCATCTCTTTTGTTCTAAAAATCGCCAACACTAGCATCCTTGATAAACACTGGTTGTAAGCAAATGCTTTTAGCCTTATGTATTGCACACTATAGCTTTAAATGGCAGTACATTCTAAAGACATGTCATCTAGGGACACAGGCTCCCTGTACATTACATACCAAGGGTACAGCAGAAACAAAGTAGAGTACATTGAATATCAACTGGTGTTCTTTCTGAGATTATGTTTAGTGCCCTTGAATCTGTTTAAACCATACAAAATGACACTGGTGTTAATGAAGGTTTCTCAAATCCCAAGCAACAGGAGATAGTTCCAGTTCTAGAATTAAAACAACTAGATGGTTTAATAGACTAAGTAGACTATTGCTGTAAACTGGAAATAGACCTTAGGACAAACACCATATCTTTTCTAATGCATAATTTCAACAGCAGGGCACTTGACAAAGGCTGAGTGCATGGCCTGAATGACAGTAAAACCAGTGGATGAACTGATGCCAACCTGGAATAGTCACCTGCACAGGGCTGTAGGTGTCTGTACTTGGTTTGGCCCTCTTTTAACTACTTACCAATAATTTGCACAAACTCACAGAAATGTGTAAAAAGGCAGCCAGCATGGGTCCAGAACGATGTAACACAATGGAATTTAAATGCTAAGTTCCTGCATTAAAGGCTCAAAAAGTCAGTTCCACCAGCACAGGCCAAAAAGTCAAGGATTCATAACAATTTACGTAAAAAAAAAAAAAAAGGCTAGGGAATGTAGATACAGGTTCAATATAGGCCAATAGCAATATGATTGATCAAAAAGGTAATTCAATCTTACACTACATTTACAAATTGTAAGTTGCCAAGAAAGTTACTATTCTCTACTAAAATTAGTAGGACAGATGTTAAGGGTACTGTATTTAAGCAGCAGCACCGACAGATTCAAGACGTTTGCAAACACTCCCCACCCCCTTCCCCAGGGTAAGAGTCAGACGACTAGTCACACACTTGTAAGGGGAAGGATAGAAGCAGAGAGGAAGGAAGAGAGACTGCTGTGTCCAAATGTCTGAAATGCCTGACATATTGATTTATTTTGTGCAGTTCCGGGGAACAGAAGACAATCAAGGGAGGCAAACCGTAGCTCAATACAAGAAAGAACATATCAAAGATCAGGGTTGTTCATAATGGATTGGCCCACCTAGAAAGGTAAGCATCTCATCACTGAAGGCCAGATCTGATTATCCAAGGACGTTTCCACTGGCACACGAAGTTAGATTAGATGACACCCTCTTCCCACCCTCCCCCTACACTGGATTTTCACAGGCAAGACCACCTCCCTAACTCCAACACCGTCGTCCCATTCTCCCTCAATATAAGGCAAAATATCAGAATGCATCTTAGTAACGTTAGGACAGGCATTACTGCTACTATTTTATTTTTTAAAAAATTTGCAAATTCTAACAAAAGTTGGGGACACTAACAACTACTAATAAAACAAACTCTGACAGCTAGACAGCTAACTCACTGGGATACAGAAACAATGCTCTCAGATACAATACTCAGACGCTATACTTTCTACATAGTTTCTACACCGTTTTCCTAAATAATATGCGTAATTTCAGTTGGTTAATAGATTCCAAACTCAAAATGACCAAGCTTTTCCTGAATTTAGTTAGCCTTTACCTCATTTTACAAAGGCTTCTTGCTTGCAACCTTAAGTCCTTAAGCTGCCCCAGCCCAGAGAATTGATCCTAATTCCTCAACCAAAGCAGGGATTGGAGGTCTAGAGGATGAAAGCAGGACTTACCTTTATTTGCAGACATTCGTTCTTCCCATTATTTCCTTGCTTTCTGAGACCCATCGCTAAGTGGCACTGCACTGTTCCAACGGATGCCTAACGTGGTTTGGGACCCCTTTTGATTCTACCCTACTTACAAAATTACAGATCTGAGCAGCTCATTAGCCAACAATTCAAACTCTAAAATGGAAGCCCTATCACAAAAAGCACTCTCAGAACCTTCTCTAAAGAGTACTCACTGCCTGACTGGAAGACAGACCGAGGAGGAAGCCACCTGTCCCACAATCCACCGTACTCTCTAGGGAACCTGCCTAGCCATCCACATTGCCGGCTTGTGCTACTCCTGTCAAAGTCATCCCTTTCAGACTGAACAATACAATCCATCCCATGTGTTCAAAAGGCCAGGCTTTTTACCTTTCTGAACGTGGATGATGTCCGGGAAGTTGGCCAGGTGCCCCTGATACAGCGCTAACAGGTCCATGACGGGGTCCAGGTCCTGCCTGGGCTGCTCGGCAAAAAGCTCACCGATGGCGTCATAGGCATCTCCGGTGAAGGCGATCGCCTGGTTCAGGCCCGCCGAGAAGGCCTGCTGGTCCAGCTCAAAGGCCTGGCTGAGGCCGCGGAAGGACTGGCCCACCTTCTGGTACTCCTTCTTGAAGCCCGTCACCTGCTTGCGCGCGAACTCGTTGGCCGTGTGGTTGAGCTGCAGCGCGCTGTCGTCCATCTTCTTGGTGAAGCTCTTGAAGCCGTCGATCTTGCTCTCCACCTCCTGCAGGTCCAGGGCGGCGGCGGGGGGCGTGCTCAGGGTCAGGAAGAAGTTGGCGCCCACCATCTCGTCCTTCTCAGCCTTCCTCTTGCCCTGCTTCCAGGCCTTCTCGTCGGTGCTGCTGGGGCACGTCAGGAAGTGCTGGAAGACGTCGCACTGCGCCAGCACCGGGTGGCTGGCCATGTGGTTCATCCACCAGATCAGGCCCTTCCGGCGTTTGGAGATGAAGTCCTCCTCGAAGCGGCCCGTGGCCTGCTTCTCGGGCAGGTGGGGCACCGAGATGACCGGGAACTTCTCGGCCAGGCGCGCATACAGCCAGTCGAAGTGCTTGTAGCGCCGGTGCACTGGCACCTGCGTGTGCGTGGGCACCAGCTTGTAAGAGATGTAGCTCTTCATGCCCTTGAACTTGGTCTGCTTGGTGGGGTCGTCGATGGTGCACTGGAAGGGGTAGGGGTTCTCCTGCCACTCGGGGCCGTAGGGCCCCAGCACCACGCACAGCTTGTCCCCGTCCTTCACGAAGCCCGACGCCTCGCCGAGCACGAAGGCCTCCCCGCCCGACTTGACGAAGGTGGAGAAGCGGTTGAGGTTGCGGCTCACGGTGGCCGAGCTTTTGGCTCCCGACGCGTGGTGCTGCGGGGGCGCCGAGCCGCCGCGGGAGCCCAGCGACAGTTCGGAGCGCGTGGACAGGCGGTAGCGGCCGGCAGCGACGCCACCCGCCGACGACGAGCCGTCAAGGTCCGGGTACGCGCCGCTGCCCAGCGCGCCGGGCTCGTCGGCCACCGTGGAGCTGTCGTCCCACTCGTCGTCCCAGTCATCGTCGCTGCCCTGGCTGGCCTGGTAGCCGCCGTAGAG